AAGATTGTGGTAGTTCTTTAGAAGACAGAGCTTATCCAACATTTCAGCCAGAGGTTACTAACAACTTAGAGTCAGTAGAAGAGTTATGCTGACAGACATCGATCTGAGTTGGAGTTCCACGTCAGCGATATGGTTTTACTGAAAGTGACACCTTGGAAGGGTGTAATACGCTACATGAAGAGGAGCAAGTTGGGGCCCCGATTCATCGAGTTGTTTTAAGAAGTTTCCATGGTAAGCAGGGTGACCTATCGACTGGACCTGCCTAATAAGCTCATTCAGATTCACAACACTTTCCATGTTTCTCATATTTGGAAGTGTATGACTAATGATTCAGCAATGGTTCCTTTGGATGATCTCTAGGTTGATGATTGCATGAATTATGTTCAGTGGGCAGTGGTGATTCTGGATAGGAAAACGAAGGTCTTGTGCAACAAGGTGGTCCTATTGGTCAAAGTTCAGTAGCATCATCGGAAGGGTTTCAAATGGACTTCAGAACCTAAGGCAAAGATACAAGAGCACTACCCAAAGTTATTTGCAACAGCGTACTTCAAGGACGAAGTCTGACTTAAGTGGGGGAGAATTATAACACCCAGATATTAGGTAAAATTTCATTTTAAACCAAGTAAATTAATTGCAAGATTGGTCCTTACCCCATGCATACTTAGGGCGTACACATGGTGTAACTCGATAAAAAGAAATGTGTGATCATGCACGTATACATGGTGTACTCATGTGGACATTAGGCGTACGTGGCTGGGGAGAAGACCCTAATTTTTTTAAGTTTTGAGCTCTATTTAAACACCTTTATCCCTTGAAGAGCATTTCCTTCGTCAGCCTCCGTCTCCCAAATCTTCATTTGCTAACCCTAGTCCATTGTGTGATATTTTTTAGCTTCAGAGTGCGTATTTATGCTCTTGGAGGAAGAAGAATACAGTGGATTCATCTTGGAAGCTTCAAGCAAGTGTAGATCTGGAATTTCAACCTTACAAGCAACCACCAGAAGGTATACAGCTTGGAACTCTATGAGTTATTTGCTAAGATCTTGCTAGTCTAGAGTTTATGTATAGTTTTGGTCCCATAGTTTTGTTCTAGTGGAGTATAAGCTACTCTAGATCCTTAAGGTGTAGTTTTCTATAGTTTTGATTCCATGGATTCATAAAAAATGAGAGCTTGGATACTCTCATTAAGCCATGCAAGAGTTTTGGAACCTTGGATGACTTTTGGACCAAGGGTTTGAATTTCTACCCTCTTGTATACATGCAAATGGATAAAGTCATAGAATTTATCCATGGAGATGTCCTTTTTTTACCTAGATTTGAAGTTTGATGCATTGACTTACTATAATGAGGACATAATAGTAAGATATAGATTTAATGTTGGTACGTTGGGTGTACCTGGAGGTACGTTGCGTGTACATATTTGGAACTTGTAGTTTTGGAAGGCACCCTCTATACTAGGCGTAGATGGGAGTACGCAAGGGGTACTCAGCCTAGGTGAGACCTTTGACTTCTTGAGCATGACTTTAACTAGGAATTTGATTAGGTTTGACTTAGGGCATTTTGGGTAATTTAAGCAGTAGTTTGAGATTAGGTCCTTTGTGTTGACTAGGTGACCTGTACATTTGGTGTATGGAGCAGCATTCTATTCAACTACATTTCAGACTATGATGTGAGTTTCCTCACTATACTTGTGGGTCGAAGGCACCAATGACCCCCCCCCCCCAGTAGGCTATGTATCATAGTTTAGAAAGTTTCTATGATGTAGTGACTTGTTAAGATCTGCATGATTATCTGTTTGTTGTTATATGTTCTATCTGTTGCATATGTCGACATAGTGCGGTTGGGTTGATGCAAAATTGCTTTGTACAAAGGTCAACAGACCCGAGAGCAAGCCAAACTTACGTTGTAGGCCAGAAAGGCAAGCCAAACTTATGTTGCAGGACCCGGGACAATCCAGACATGAGTTGTGGACAGAAAGGCAAGTCAGCCTCATGATGTGGGCTCAGGGGTAATCTAGTTTGATAACTGTGGACCCATTATACATGTTGTTATATGTTGTGTGGTGGTATTTTGGGGGAAACTCATTAAGCTTTAGCTTACAGTTTGAGTGTTATGTTTCTAGTACTTCTAAGGATCGGGATAACACAAAGGCGTAATCGTACAAATCCTTTGATGATATATTTTTGGAGATTTTATGATACTTTGAATTTGGGGTACTTATATATGATACTTGGTTTTTGACTTGAGTTTGGATTGGAACAATGATTTTACCTTAATTAAAAAAAAAAAAAATTATCGTGATTTTTGAGATGTTACATGAAATTTTTTGACTATCTCATCCTCTAATCTCCTTCAGCAGGTCATGGCTTTTCTCTATTTAGAGTTTGCCATGTTTGATTTTAGTTGGTGATTTTAGTGTCACCATGTCATTTTAAGTAACTAGAACTGACATGTGAGCTAAGAGGCTTCATAATTTGTACGCTAATATATATATATATATATATATATATATATATATATATATATATATATATATATATATATGGGGTTGTGCGGAGTACATGCATGTATAAGATCGAATTAGAAACCGGTTCGATGACTAGTCGGGGATCCGGGGTAGCGCCCCTAGGTCCGGGGATTCCAAAGGGGTAGCACCCCTTTGGCGGGTTCTAGAGGCAGCGCACCTAGCGGGGTTCAAGGGGCAGAACTTCTGGCTGGGGTTCCACTGCCAAGTCAGTGGGCGGGGTCGAGGGAACATAATGGAAAATTCAATTCCTTGAGGGTCCCGCTGCTAGGGCAGCTCCCCAAAACCTCATCGAATTTTACATATGGGAACACAGTGGAAAATTCAATTTCTTGTGGGTGATTATGATAAAACTAACGAAACTCTTTAGTTTTAGTAACCCTAATCCGGATTATCCTGACTTGCTTCCAAAGCAACTAATGACAACTCAACCTTAATGAAACCCTAATCTCGTTTAATATATAAACGATTATTCCTCTTTAGAAGAAGGTTATGAATTTTAGCTCTCGTTTTCATCCAACTCTCACAGAATCTCTCTAGCTAATTGGCTTACGATTTCTGTATCTAGAATCGTAAGTGTCCATTTGCATTATCCTAGGCTGAATTTCTTTCAACTCAGGCATAGGGTAGAAATATTAGTTTGTAAAGTGTTCTCACGATCCAAGTTAGTATCCAGGTCTCCACTACAACGCGAATATTTCTTACAATTTTAATGTATTGTTATTCCTTCAACATTCACCTCTAACTCACAAAAAATAAATAAACAAAATGTTGTCTAAATTAATTGGAAATGTAACTCTAATTCATTTATAAACCCCAAGCACCAACAACAAATAAATGAGATTACAAGAGATAAGGAAACAACATGAAATTGGGCGAATGTGGTTTTTGTGCATTTAGAAAAAATGAAAAATAAAAGACTAGTTGGTCAAGTAAGGAGGATTGTACAGTAAATAAGGTAAACTATGACGTAGTCAAGTAAAGTTTGCAAGATATGTGCATTAAAAGCATGGGGACCCACTACCAAGTTATCGAAACAAGAAAAATTAATGCGACAACAATAGACATTCAATACCCAATCCTTTTCGCTGACGTGGAAAATTGTTTGTCGTGTTGTTGCTTAAAATCGCATCGAAGACACATGGTAGTCCACGTCGTACAGTATGCATGTATCCACATGGCGATGAGAGGAAGACGTGGCACGTGACAAGCAAATTTGTTGTCGTGGTGTTGAGACTTGTGTTAGCCAAAATATACATTTCGAAAATGACCGGACTACCATCGTTACAAATACAACGACTCCTAGGCTATTTCACTGTAACTAATATTTCAATTATCTACCAAACATTTGCAATCACTATTAAAATAAGTGCAATAATATTTCTTTTTAAAAATGACTACTAAAATCAGTATAATAACAATCATTTTTTAAAAATAATCCCCACTGCCACCTTATTTATTACTTTATAAATATTTAATCGTTTAGAAATTTAGAATTCTAAAATATTATTTAATCATTAAATATTAACTTATTAAATTGTTAACTATTTAATAAATGTTTTACATATCTAATATTATCTTTTGGTTTTTACAATATGACTATAATTACTTAACAATAACTTATAGACTACATTTTTATAATATAATTATAATTACATATATAAAAATAACTCGTTTATCAAAAAAAAGGAAATAGTAATAAAAGCGAAAAAGAATTTTATGGTGGAGCCCATATTTTCATTTGCAAGGTTTTCATAAGTAAAGATCTAAACTCAAGTGACAATTGAAATTCGTTTGTAAGACTATTATAAGATGCAATGTGGTTGCTCTTACAACTTGATAACTTTTAAGGATTTATTAGTTTACATTTTTTTTAATAGGTTAGTTAGGGTGGTATCATACTCACCATAGTTAATATAAACGCCACATTATTTTTGTCAAATTTTAACCAAAAGTTATCATTTTTATGGTGTTGGTTGTTACACTTGTTTTATATATATATATATATATATATATATATATATATATATATATATATATATATATATATATATATATATATATATATATATATATATATATATATATGGAAAGGATCAAATGAGAACGCCTAAAAGGTTGAGAACGCAAGAACAAATCTGGTACATTAAATATTATAATCTAAGGATGTCATTAATCATTAATTTAAACAAAATATTAAATGAATTTAATTTTTTTTAATTAAAAAAATAGAAAAGGGTATTCAAGTAGTTTTATTATCTCATCCATTTTGAATATATCAGGTAAGTTTGAAAATTAAAAGAAATCGTTCCTATGTTTTAGTAATCACAACTAACTTCTAATCTTATGGATGATTCGATCGTATCTTGAATGCAAAATATCACAGCTAAACCTTTATACTAGACCTAATTAATACTGTTCATCCGTAAAGAGGTTATTTTGCATTCAGAACTCCGTGAAGGGTTGAAGGTGGAGGAATGTCGTCAATGATCAACCAAAGTGGAAGAAGTAAGCTTTCTAATCTTTTTTGAATGTCGATTGACTGGAAAACGGGTGTAGTAGTGTGTTTATTTTTTTTAATGTGTACATTTCAACGATTCTTAAAACCCTAGAAGTTGGGTTTTTCGTTTTTTCTTTATATTGTCGATTCTGAACTGTAGTGATTCTTCATCGTTGATGATTGTTGATTTAAAGGTTGTATTTTACAAATAAAACGTTGGTGTATGTGAATGTTCAAATGAAAATGGTAATTGTAGATGAGTTCCGAAGGTATGGTATTCTGATATTGAATGTGTTTAAAAATTAATCGTTTATGATCGTGTTTGAAAGTTCTAAGATGCATATACATGTGTAATAGTAGTCGACTACTTTGAACTGAAGTAAGGTTACGAAAACCCAAAAATTAGGGTTTTTTTTTTTTACTTTTGTTTTAAGAGTGTTATTGTTGATCAATGGCAAAATAAATACATTATAAGTAGGACAAGAGGATTAATTGATGTTAGTATTCGATTGTGAATGGTGTTTAGTAGAAAAATAATAACGAAGGGTATAAACGTCATTCATTACTAATGATTACTTGTAAAATCCGATTGTTTGTGCGACACAAGTACTTTTCCAGTAGTAATCCTTGTTGTTGGTTGTATATTATGTATATTGTTAAAGTCATATTCAGTTGTGAATGGATACTTTATTGAGTATCTATGTGGTTTTGATCCTGTACATGATGTACTAAGTAAAGAATAATGGTGTAGGAGTCCCTACTATTTTTTATGAGTAAGTTAATTACACTGTTTGTTTATTGATGATTATTGTAAACATTCCTCTGTTTTTGGGTATGTGTTTATTTGTGTTTGTGTTTAGTAGGTATAATTTATGATTATTTGAGTTGTTAATGATTCGATTCTGAGTTATAAATGATTAAGGTATTTTAATTCTACTATTAGGTAGAAAGAAAAGCGAGAGGATATTACTAAAGACGACATTCAACAAATTCACTAATGAAGAATCCAATCCATTGCTTATTGATATTGAAGATGAAGACACTGAAGGAAACAAAATAGTACAACCTCAGATTAGAAGAGAAGGACAAAAGAAGTGTTCAACACCTAAGAAGAAAACTAAAAAACAAACTGGTGGTGATGATGATTATATGAAATTTAAAATGTTAAATATCAATTGGAATCTATAGTTATGTGTCTTATTTTTTAGACAGGTGTGGGGGAACGTGTTAATCGCACACCAGCTCATTCAATGCGAATGGATCTTAAAGTTGTAGGTTTGAGCTCAGATTCAAGTAATGTACTTGTTTAAAATTAAATTTATTTAGAGTTTGATGTTGTAGTTAGTTTTAATAACTTGTGTTGTTTTGTATTTATTAATAGAAAAGAACATGAAACCCAAAGTCAATGTGAAGAAGTTTGATAGAGGAAATTCAAGGTTTTCAAAATCTAAAAAAAATATATACAGAAACAAAAAGGTATCAATGATGATTTCATGTAATGTAACTTGTATAGTAAAGTAACTTCAGTTATGATTATGTTGTCTACTTATTGGCAGGTTTGATTGAAAGTTATGACATGACAGAAGATAGTGGAATAAATAAGGAAAATGAATTAAGAACAAAAAGACGATTTGATAAATGTAAGATAAAAGGTGATGAAGTTGTTGTTATAAACTCATGTTCAAGTAGTGTTTTTTTAATAAATTTAGTATAGTATTATTTTGGTAATTTATTTATAATCATTTATTGTGTTAAATATGTCTTAACAGGAAAAGATAATGTTACTAACAAGAAGCTTGATGAAGATGAAGACTCTGATTTTGAAGATGACAAACTTGTGGTAACAAGGAAAAAGAGAAGGCATTATACTTCATTCAAAAATGATGACAAAGAAAATGTGAAGAAATTTAAAAGACAAAGGAATAAAGAAGGAAATGTAGTGAAGGCAAGAAAACTGCCTAAAGTTGTAGCAAGTGATGCATAAGAAGCAAGGCAAATACAAGTACGGACATCTCCAAATGTTTTGTACAATTGTATGCATAACCTTAGCAAGGAACAGGAATCTTATATTTCTTCTATTGGTCTGGGGCATTTGTTGAATATGAAAGTGGATGGGTGTGCATCAATTATGGGGCATTATATTGTAAGGAATTTTGATGCAGATAGGATGGTACTCAAACTTCATCATGGAGAGATACCAATCAATTGGCAAGTTATTCACAAAATGTTGGGTCTGCCTCTCGGACATGTTACATTAAAGTCCATGCCTTATAGAGAAGTCACAGACGACACGATAACTATTCGGAGAAAACAATTCGAAGATGAAGATAATATTATACCAAGGGCAGTTCAACAAGTTATTATGCAATCAACACGTACGGATTTAATCTTTAAAGTAAACATCTTCGTCCTGTTGTGTAATACACTAGGTCATTCGATGAGCATGGGAACATGTGACCTGTCGATGTTATCAAAAGTCACGAAAGACCTGGATCTAAGTGACATTGATTGGTGTGGATATGATTTTGATTGCCTTAAGGAGACAAAAAGTGCATGGATTCCAAACAGCCAAAAAGGATTCTATGTTGGGCCAATTATATTACTGCTGGTAAGATTTGTTTTAAATTCAGCTGTCATTCAATATTGGTAGACTTATGTGTGCAGATTCATTAAAGTGTATTTAAGTAATACATTTTTTATTTGTCTTTGTTGTAGTTGCTATACGTAGAAAGTGTTTGATGGGATTCAGTGAAGATTGTACGATGCAGACCAGCAATATGTTGTTGGAATGTTGATAAACTACGTGAGCGAGAGAGAGTAGAGTGTAGGACAATTGGTCTGGGTATGGGTGAATTGCAAGATCCATTTCAAGTCATCAATGAAGCATCGGGAATTGGTAATGTAGGGCAAGAAAAAGTTCAGGTAATATTTTATTGTATTGAATAATGCATATGAAATTTATTATTTGTTATTTTTGGTATAATCTAAATTAATTATATTCATACATTATTGATAGGGATATGATGCAGGATATGTAAGGTGTAAGGTATTAATATAATATAATCATTACTAAATAATAAGTTATTAGTACAACAACTAATATTGTATTACTTTTCGTAGGGAAATCAAGGAGATGATATTTTTAGTGGAAGTGGGGAAAGTGTTGAGGTAGGTTACTACGTATTCACAGTTGAATAATTAGTTACTATAGTATTAATTAATACTAACTGGCATATTAATGTTTTTATTTGGTTTATAACGTAATTCTATTGTGGTGACCTAATTAGACAACTATTTCAATAATAAAAGAGATGTACGACATGATATTGCAGCAAAAGAAAGTGTTGGAAGACAAAATAAATGATGCTGTCAAGAAATATCCTGAGAATCAGTTGGTCAAACAATGGAAACACAAATTAAATGATTTGTTTAGTGAAGTTTCTGCATCAGAGGAACCAGAATAATCTCAATGGTGGTATGATAACGAGGCTGAAACTGAACGTACGCTGATTCTAGCTACAACTCACAAACAGTTTGACAACTCCCCAATAGCAAAATGTAGTATTCAAATGTCACAGGAATATGCAGACTTCGCGAATAGATCTGGAAGAAATCTTTTAAGAATACACCACCATCTAAAACGGAAATGCCAATTCCTTTTTCTGTAGTACCATTCAACAATGATGAACATTGTGTTAGTAGAAGAGGGTACAGGCCTCGCATGAAATCCGAATATCTGAAATGTCCTTACATTATACGGGCTGTTGATATCATCAAAGGAGTTCCACGGCAGGAAACACGTGTAGTAGAATGGATATTCTCACTCCAGGGAGAGCCAAAGTAAGTTGCATTTAAAATATTTTTAAAATTACTTAATTTTGTGGGTTGCTTATTAAAAATAGTATTAATTGGTCACGTCTTTTGCAGTGATATAGTTTTCCACACTTTGGATGAGTTTTCTGCTCAGAGGTTTCACATGGAAAGTTTTTTTCCAACATGTGAACTATTTGGCCATGTCAATGATTGTTGGAGTCAAGTGTTGAATCTTGATAAAAGTAAGCATGAACCTGAATCGTCTCTGAGAGTTTATTGCAAGACAGATGTGACGGCATAATTTAATATTTTTCAATGTTGATTATACTATTTTTTTAAATACAACATATAAATAAGTTAATGAGTTTGTAAAAATGGATCACAGAATTCGTATCTTGAAAGTGATTTAACAGAAAGTCAACGTAAAGATAAATTCATTGAGAATCTGGTGCTTTCTATTGAAGATATGGACGCAAGCCTATGTTTTGTTGGATTGGTAAGAGATATATCTCCACAGTTTACTTATGTGTTTATTTATCTTTGATCAAATATGAATATTAAATAAAGTGAATACAATTGTAATGAATAAATGTTGTAGCTTTTCCTACCAATCATCCGTTCCTTCAACATTTTCCTTTTTGTGATCAATCTACAACACCCAGAGTTTGTAATCATTGACAAAAACAAAGTTGATGATCCTGATGGTGAGAGATATGGTCAGTTGCCCCAAATCATTATAAGTGATTAATAAAAATTACTTTACATAGTTAAAAGTTTCATATGTGTTGACAATGTTTTTTACATTTTAGAAAGAGTACATAGTTGATTACTTAAAATCTCAAAATCATCCAAAAGATGAGATGTTTTCACATGTGATGCCACATAGACTGGAAATGCCTTAGAGAGCAATAAACAACATCATTGATTGTGGTGTGTTTACGATGCATCACATGGAAACACATATGGGTGGAAGTATGAATGAGTTTAAAGCTGGGTTCAAGAACGAGTCTTCTGCACAAGATGATCAACTTGTTAAACTAAGGACAAAGTATTTATACAAAATCATCACTCATGAATATAATGTGAAAAAGGATTATGTTCTGCAAAAGGTTGATGAATTCCACACGATTCCTTCAAGACAACGTTCTCAACTGTTGGCCATTGCAAAGGAAGAAATTCACAGGAGATTGGATGATTTAAGTTAATTATGTTAAACAAGTTATTTTAGTTATGACTTCAATGGTTTCTTTTAGATAGTTTTAAAACAATGGTTTTGTATTCTAAGGATATTAACTTGGGTTGCTGAACGTACAATAGTTACTTTTGGTTTGCTAGTTTTAGTAATGGATTAGTGATATTTTAGTAGCTATAATTTTACATTAACATTTGAAAAATTAAGTTATGTTAAAAAATGATGATTAACATTGATGGTATAGTTTTAGTGTATATTCAGGAATGATTCTTACTAACAAACATTTGTTAATATGCTATGTTACTATGACCATACAATTATAATTATTAATAATTAAAGTGAATATATCTATATTATATAATGATTGTTGTTGGGTTTATATCTTAAAGTATGTTGTTATTCAAATATTGAATAATAGCAAAATACTTGAATTATTCATAACATATTATACTTTAAATGCAAATTGTTTTAACTTAAGAGAAGAGTATTTAACAATTTTAATATCATCAATATGTTGAAAATAATTAATGTATTTATGATGTTATTCATTATTGACTGTAATTAAGGGTTTAAAGTCGACCATGGTTTAACTTATGATTAAATTTTACCCAAAAGAAAAAGTAAATCAATATATGATGTATTGGTGTTTTAAAAGTTAATCGTACAATCATTTATTATTAAGATATACTACTAACAGCATACAATAAACTATGAATACTGCTTTAATTGTATATGACTATAGTATATAATGATTGATGATTTTATAATTTCAAGAAAGGAAAAGTATATCTATTCTAAGTGCGAACTGTTTTAATCAAATAAAAGAGGTTTAAATGCCACATAATATCATTAATCTATTAGGATTACCAAATTTGGCATTGTTATTGTTCATCGTTGAATAAAACAAAACGTTAAAAATAATGAAAGTGTTTTAAGATAACATAACATACTAAATCATAGAAACATATCTTATTCATAAATCTAATAGAAAAGTAAAATCTATTGGGAAAACGAATGGGCAATTTTAATCTGCTTTTGACTCCCGTGCAAGTCTTACTTTGCAAGTCCTCCAATTATGGTTAGCATATTGATTGCAACCTGTGCACATTCTGGTTTTTTTCTTTGCAGCTGCAACGACTTTCTCAATAGCACTAACCATTCTTTTCTTAGTTCCACTACCTTTGATACGTATAGATGCAGGTGGATGGATATTTATTTCATTAGGAATGCTGCGTATTCCAAGCATCCGAATAATTTCTTCTTCATCGTTATCAGGTGATGTTTGGTTTGAACTGCCAAACTCCATTGCTTCCTGCTTCAACGTACGTGTTTTTTCAACAAATTCCAAGAATTTCTCATTGCTTCTTTTGAAATCATCCAAGCAGTATTCAATATTGTTGTATGCCTCTATTAGAATTTTAAAGGTGTCCTCTTCTGTTTCCATGGCAACATGTTTCATGGCAAGCAAATGGCTGGAAATTGCATCCCTTCTCCATCTTCTTAGAATATACTGCTCTGGAATCTCTTCAACATGGTTGTTTTTCAATACAACAAAAATACGACGACACAAAATGCCACTACGTATGAAGTGATTGCATGAACATTTAACTTCTTTTTCAGGCAACTTTAGTTCAACCTATATTGTATAATAAAAATAATGTATGTTAGTAACTGATTGAATTAACATATTAGTTGGTGGTTATTGCATAATATTGAAAAAATATATGTAATTTAAAAATAATGATATAATATACTTGTATGATGACTAATGAAAAGCGTTTAAACGATGAATATAACCTTGCATTTTATCTTCAACTGTTTGCTCTTATCCGTTTGTGTAATCATAACAACTTTCCATCCATCAATCTTTTCAACACTGTCGATAGAACAGTACCAGGTTGCTTTAAATATTTCCTTTTTGACCTCATAGAAAATATTTTTAGTGTAAACCGCAGCTGCATGTTCTAGTAAGCTACTTGGAAGCGTCATTTCATGCTTTGCATTTTTTGTATCATGTTCTAGTTTCTGTTGAACATTTCATTGCTTTCCAATTGTGGTGTCGTAGTTCATCATGAAATAGATAAGCTAATTACCAGAGTTAGAGTATTTATTAAAAAATTAGTTCACGCTTCCAGACCTTGAAGTAGTTTTCATCAGACGTGTAGTGGCATGTCTTTAAAATAGGCTGGAATCCAAAGTTTTCGATCCCTGTACATGTCTTGAACCATCTTTGTCCTGTAGTTTGAATTTTCTCATAAGCAGTTCCACTTTGATTCAA